GGAAACATATCCTTTAAGGGGTTTATTCCAAAGAAAAACAAGGAAAATTCTACCTTTTTAATTCCCTCCTGTGGACATTATCATAAGAAACAACTTGTTCCACCAATACTCTATGCCCTGCAATCTAAGATGAACAGTCAGCAATCCATGCAATAATTATTACAGTAAGGAGAAAACTGCACTATGTTTAAAAATAAAATGAAGTCAAACCTCAACCACTAGGATATAGTTTTCATTCCTTAGATTTTAGGATTTCATTCCTTAGACTCAGGTTACATTGTCCCAAAGAGTTTAAAGTATCTGACTCTTGTATAAAAAAGTATATTAAAAGTGACTGACATTTAATGTCTAGATCACTTTCTTGTAAAGGCATAGCAGATGGCTGGGCAATATTATGTCTCACAAAAATGATTTCTAATCAATCTATGTACATGTGTTGCTCACTTCACCCACTCAACTAAATAAAGTTCAACAGCAGAGTGAACCATGGAATTTTTAGCTTTTTCTGAGCTTTTAGCCCAGCAATAACATACACATTAAGAATCAAACATACACCCAAAGCAGTATTTTGATTTTATATGAAATATTTTGTATCCTGATGAATTGCAATGGGCTCATAAAGATGCATTTCTGCTTTCACCTGAGGAATACTTCTTCCATTAGCTATTGTTGCTGTCAACACTCTCCTATTTTTACCAATGAAAGTTAAAACAGTGGTTTGGGTTAATTTGTTTTTTGAATGTGCCACTCCACTTTTCTATAGTTTAACTACTAGGAAGTATCTGGAACCTCAAATCAGATAATTGATATCTTCAAAATAAAGGTGTTAAGTTGAGGAACCCAAAGTCTACTCCGTTTTACCAGTTACACCTTCAAGAGCTTTGTCTTCTCAGATTTACTACGTGACGTCTTTGGCTGAAGTTTGTATTCCTTGTACAGCAGCTGACTGCCATTTGAATTGTGCCTATGATGCCTTGAGGAGCTGGAACAGAGGCTACAGAGGCTGGAACAGAGTTAAGGGGAATAAAATGGGTATTTATTCATAGGCCTACGAAAGGCGTACAAAAGCCACACCCCAGCAGTTTGAGTGCCACAGTCGTGGCCCCTGCCTGGATGGCTCCAAGATGGAAGGAAAGGAGGGCTTGGTCACAAAATCTCACACTTTTATAGGTTATGGTTCATTTGCATGAACCCACCCTCCACCTTTCCACGTTGTTTATGCCTAGGGCCTGAAGTTTGCAGAAATTGTCTTTGAGTTCTCAACTGGAATAGGACTGTTTTGTCTTCATCACCCTAGCACATCAGAAAAGTACATCCAAGCAGAATAGAAAAACTTAAAACTTAAGGCATCACCTCCTCAGCGCAGCTATCTGGGCATGATTGGGGATGTTGTTTATGTTCTATGTTTTTATACACAGTGACTGATATTTGCAAAATAATAGTTATGTAGATATCACATTTCTATGTGCACACTTGCCATCTAAAGAGACAGTATATTTTTTCTTTTATTCTGTTCCTCCAATTTTTTGAGTTTGTATTCTGAATACATATAAACCTCACTCTTTTTACCTGGCAACCAGTATGTCTAAAAACATTTCTTTCAGACTTCTTTTTGCTTCGTATCTAATGCACTTCATAGACATTTTTGATCTTCCCAACCTACAGTTGCCATTTTTCCAGATGAAATGTGCATCTTAAATGAAAATCCTCTAACTTCACACACAGGAATAGCTGGGAGATATAGAAGCTGTCTGTATTTGAATTCTAGGAATTTAGGCATGTCAGATTAGTCTGCTGCTGGCTTCATTTTCCTTTTCAAGCTCATGGGTTTGTTTCCTAAATGTTACTGTTGCACTTCATTGGCTTCTTACAGTAGTTATTTTCTCAGTCTGATTTTAGCAAAGTGAGATGGATATTAAACTGTTGCCTCAGTAATACACTGGATAACCTCTTGCTTGGAGATTAGAGACCTCCTGAGAGCTGAGTTGTCTTTCTGTGTTGTAGTTATACTGTTACTGCCCAGAGAGCATCAGCATTAGTCCTCTGGCAGCCTGGTGTGAGGCAGGAATACAAACTTGTGGATGTTACTCACAGGGTATAATTTTGTAACACCCAAAGTGTGAGCTACAGTGGATCTTAGGTGGATACTAAAAGGGAATATTTATGCATTTATAATCATGTAATTCTGAAAGAAAATCATGGATTATCAGCCATAAAATGAATATTAATTATGTTAAGGAAATAAAAAGAGAAGTTTATATGTCCATATTAAGGCTTAGTGGCTGAAGGGACAAAGATGCACCTTAACACTGAGTTAGTGTGGATTCCAGCTGAATTAGGTTGCCTGAGGTAAGAGTATAATCACCTTACTCTCCATACATAACTGAGAAGAAATATAGGCTGCTGTTGGGACTAACTCAGACCTTAAATAACTTTAATTGACTTCCAAAGAAGGGCAGGTGACTCTTTCCATTTTTTATGGGGAACTGTTGTGATTCTATACTTGCTTAAATGACTCAGTGGTCAGTGAGAGAAATACAAGCTCTTACTGCTCCTGTATCCAACCTTGCCTGGGGTATAGACTGTTATGGCAGGAGCTTTCAAATAGTTTCTTCTCCAATTGTCTTCATCCCTTTTTTATGTTCTACATTCCACTTCTACTTGACCCATCTAGAATCAGAGAGCTGTAACATAATTCAAGCTGAGAGGGACCTCAAGAAGATTCTAGTCCAACTTCTTGCTCAAATGAGTGTAAATTTTAAAGCCAAATATGTTGCCCTGAACTTTATCTGTTCAGGTCTTGCAACCCTCCAAAGATGCAGATTACAGAGTGTGTCTGGGCAGCCTCTCCTGCTGCTTGTCTGAAAGTCAGAATTATACCTGATTTGGTTTATTACCATTTTCTCTTTTATTTATTTCTTCGTTTATTTATTTTATTGCTCTGCAACTCCATAAGGATCCTGGCTCCCTTATTTTGAAATCTCCTTTCAGGTATTGGAAAGGTACTTCTAGACACCTCCAAAACCTTCTCTTTTTTTCAGTCTAACCAAGCCCAGCTCCTCCAACCTCTCCTTATACGGTTCTCCAGCCCTAGTGATCTTGGTGGACTCCCACTTCAGTCACTCAAAGTTTGTTGATATCTTTTTTTATACTGCAGTGGATATGTTAATCATAACTGGACACAGTAGTCGAGATATACTCTAAAAATTCCTGGGTGAAAGGAAATAATATGAGCTCCTTGTGTTCTTGAAAAATATTATGATTCAGAATCCAGGAAGCACTTGAAAAAAATCTGGAGTCTATTTAGTGTATGCTAAATAATAAGAGAATGCAGTCTCATCTGTGTCAGAGCTCCCTGGCAAGCCCTGTCACTCTTGTCTGAGAAAGCCTTTCTCCAGAAAAGTCAGCATATTTCTTCCTTGTTTTTCTCTCATTCTACCAAAATAAATAATACATGCAAAAATAAAGATTTTTTGAATTGAGAATAGGTTGCAATGTAAAGAACAAAGAAAAGCTTAATAAAGTTAAAAGGCAGATGAACTGAAACAGTAAAAAAAACCTCAGTGACTGACACACTTCAGAAAGCATTGACTCAAAATTTGTCATTCAAGGGATAATAGTATTTAGCAGTTTGAAATAAATGAATAGCAACCATATATAAACTTTGGATAATTAGGACAAAGTTCAGATGGGGTTTTACAGACATTTCAGACACAAAGAACAAAGCAGTTCCCTTCCTTCTGTTAGAGAGATTTCTTGTAGGCTTGCAACTGGGAAAAGTCTGAACAGCATTAGAGAGTTTTACATCAGGCTGAAGGGCTCAGTGCCAGAGGTGGTGTGTTGTATTTTAGGTAATGGCTCTGGCTGGAGGGACAAGAACCAGTTTGCTAAACACAGGGATGGCAATAAATATTTAGTATCAAATAAACCCTGTGGGTTTATTTGTGCTCTCAGTTGAGTACTGTCCAGATCCCCTTTCTTGCTCCTTTCACATGCTTGCTGGCTTTGGGTTACCTAAACCTGTCCCACTGCTTCTCCTGTATCTCCTATGGGAGTCAATGTCTTCAGCAAGGAGGGAATTTTTTGGGATGCTGATGAAGTATGGGTAAATAAATAAGCCTTCGCACACTGAAAATAATAATGAGTGAAACATTAGTAAATGTCTCTTTCTGTGTTTGTCAGCAAGAACACATATGTCAGCACTTGAATTTCTTTCTGCATGATGATGCTTGGCTGCTGGTCGGGTGCTGCAGTGGTGTTTTTAAGAGTCAGGACAAGACAAATCTGTGCTTGCCATTGCTGAAAGCCAAATTATTAGGCAATAGGAACAAACGATCACTTCTTAGAGGATGAATATGAATCTGTACATTATCCAGAGGGGCTGTGTTGTCTCACTCCTTTGAATTATTCAAAAAACACTTGAAAAAGGCCCCCGGCAAATAGCTTAAGGTTTCTCTTCTGGAGTGAGGGGGTTGGACAAGACAACCATCACAAGTACCTTCCTACCTCAACTGTTCTAGGAACCTGTTATCCTTTGCTGTTTTTCCAGAAAAAAACTTTTGAGGAAATCTCTATCCTTTATAGTAGCTCTGATAAAGCTAGTGAGAAAGATATAATGTAATTGGAATCAACCATTTTAACATGTAATCAGAAGCTGTTCTGAAGAAGAAAAGCAGGCTGCACCATCAAGGTAAAAGTGATAGTTGTTTTCAGCTTCAGAACAAGTCAGTGAACATTAAGGCTACCTTTTAATGTTGATATAAGTAGTGGAACTCAGCTACACGTAGGACAGATAAAAGCTATTTGTTAAGGAAAGTGCAGTGTTTTTTTGGTTGCATCATTATATTCCATAGAAGAAGACAGCTCTTTCATGATGGTAGGACTTTGAGAACAAAGTGGTTATCTGCAGGATATCAAGTGATTCTTAACCACAAAACTAAATTGCTGAAAAGAAGTTATTTAACTTTTAAAGTTTATCTTTCTTTTTATTCTTGAAACAGTTGAAGCTCTGCATTTGGGAACTCTGATGGCAGCACATGGCTATTTCTTTCCAATCTCAGACCATGTTCTAACCCTGAAGGATGATGGCACCTTTTATCGATTCCAGGTAAGTATTTTCAATATGTTCTTGACTTGCACAAATAGAGGCTCGAAGGCCTTACAGAAAAGTTCATGGCAAATTTAATTATATTTTTTTCTTTACCACCTTGTAAAGAGCAGAAATTCCCCTAAAAATAAAAAATGGTAGAAGGAGTTTATTTATAAATTTTCAGCAATGTTGAGATGATAATGACTATTTTGATATCTGGAATGGAAGTGTGATAATGCTGAGTGTGGAACTATCTCTCATGAAATAAATTTATGTAGCATTTTTGAAATATAGTAAACTAAATTATGTTATTATGTCTTATGCTTACTACAGACTGAATTTGGAAAGGGGGAGGTATTTTTAATACTAAGTCTATAGCGGAAATCTGATAAATAATGGATAAATAAATCGAATAAATAAATATTTCTTTTTCTTCTTTTGCGAGAATTTCCTTACTGGTAACTCAGTAGTATTGGAGTAGTGTGTGTTCTTCTAGCAAGTACAGAGACTTTTTTTACATTGATCTGTCAGGCCCGTTGCGTACAACAAATGTGCAGATTGTTTAGAACAAGCTGGAAGCATAAATACGTACATATGTCTATACCTACACTTGTACATATATTATTGAGAAACCTACATAGTTGTATTTTATTATATTAAATTTCAAACTAAGGCCTGTTTTTCTAATAATGACTAGTGGGCTAGAATTTTGCAGAACAATATTGCTAATGACATGAAACAGAAAGGACTGCAAAGTACCAGATTACGGATTCAATGGAAAGAATTCACTTTGCTTGTCATGTGCCACTTTTGACAATAGTGGCTGTGTTCTGTTCTCTTTCTATTATATATATATTCTCTTTCTATTAGGTGGTATTCCTGGTAAGTATCACCAACAGCTGCTTCAAGCTCTTTTTTAGGTATTTATTGCTTTGAAATGATGTAATGACTATCCCTATGAAATTGAGTTTGATAATTCTGCTCTGTTACTTCTAACGGTATTAAATACTCAGTAAAAAAACAAAATCTATTGTCTTCAAGATATATAGGTCTAAACTTTGTTTTAAAGATTGTTTAAATAAGAAGACATCAAAAATAAAATGGTACTGAAATTGTGACTTTCAAATCCAGAAGAAAACTAGAGATTGGAGACCAGTCATAGTTTCAAACTAATTAAATTGTATTATATTAATCTCTGTATAATACTTTCACCAGTATTTTGGCTTAAGTCCTATAGACCCACGTAAGGGAAGAGAAAGACTTGTAATATTTGTATAAATCAAAATCTTAGCATGAATATAATTAAATATGCATAGCACAATCTGACAAGGAAGAAAATTATTATTGCATATATACAAACAATATTATCCTATTTTCATACTTAGTTCTTGTGAGTCAGACTACAAAAATGTGTTCTTCAGCAGAACAGAAAGTTAGATTTGTACATGAGTAGTACTAAGAGCAAGCATTCCAAGCCTCCTCCCCTAGATCCACAGCTACCTTTGATCCTGGAGAGAGTATTTGAAGTAAAAGGGGTTTTTTAAGTTCACGAGACTTCATTCTCCTCGTGCTCAATATAAAGAGACATGGCACATGATTGAAGGGGTTTGCTGATGTGCTTATGAGGTAAGTGGAAGGGAATCATGGAGTGGTTGAGGCTCCAGTTCTTGGCTTGATGTCTGAATAAGCAGTGTCCAGAAGGACAAAATATAGAAAGACTTAATTTTCCAGGGAATAGTACTTACTTACAGGAGTGCTAGTCATTGAATTCTGCACATCTGCTGCCCTGCCTCCATCTCTAGCACGATAAATAAGCACCTCTGCTGGCATGATTGAGTGACTGAAGGAAAGTACAGACTAGAATTAGCTGCATCCTGGACAACTGTGAGTACTGCAGGTACCCTGCTGTGAGCTTCCCTCAGAGAGGTCCACAGCCTACATGTTTGGACACAAAGCTTCAGTGAGGGCTAGACTGTAAAATCTTCTCAGTTTACTTACATAAGCTAAGAATTTGGCACCTAACTGACAAATGCATATGAAATAAAACACTTTAATCAAGTGTTTCTCAGTCTGTATCTGCAGTGTTTGGCTGATTTGCTTTTCTGTGGTACCTTTTACATTGCTATTCCTATGCAAACGATGTGACTTTGCTGTTGTGACAATACAACTTTAGCTGTTAATGTATAGGATCAGAAAAAATTCATAGTGGTGACATACTGCTAACTGGAGTTATAACAGTAAAATCTGTGTGATTACATCTCCACATTCCCCAGCAAAATAAGACTAGTATAAAATCTGTTACTGAACTGTTAAATTGGAAGATGAAGAGAGCATATTCAATGGGGAGGAAAGTTTTACTTCAAATGTGTGAACTTAGCACTAGAATAGACATTCAGATTCTTTGCAAATAGTGCTGGACAGGATTCACAAATTTCTGGATATTTTGATAAAAAGAGAAAAGCATGCACCTGCCAGCACTGAAAAGTTCAGAAGCCGTGCCTGCAGAGAAATCTTTGCAATAAAAGACCTAACCTACAAAAAACAGTCTAGCTATAGTAAGGTTCTCCATGTGCTTGGTATTTTGTTTTTCAAAGGGTGACACATTCCCTCCTGACAGTAAAATTATCTCTAGCTTGTTTTAAACCACCTTCTGTTATATAGAAATAGCTAAAAGCAGTGGAGCTTGTGCTTCATTTGGACAAATGCCCTTTTATGGGCAAAAATTATACTTTTTCAGTTATTACTCTTGCCATCAGGAGGCAAGAGTATAGTTACATCTGCTTTTTTTAAATAATGAAAAATAAAAAAAAAATTCTGGATCATTCAGTGACCATTCAGGTGTTAATTAGGTTAGCTTTTGTGATATCAATTTAATTCAAAGGACATGAATTTAAATATTAATTGCCTTATTGAGAGAGGATTTTTTAAATTAGTCTCAATAAGAAAAAGCAGAAACAGCTGCATTGCCTTTTCCTGGTAATTTAAACCTGTGACCAAAAAAGGAGCTGAATATTTCCTCACCATCTTCCTCTACCTGAGAGCAAATAATCATGAGGGGCCCAAATAAGAAAAGCAAGCTGCATCTTAGAAAGTGTATCTTCCCTGGGCCAGGGATTACTCATGGAGACGTTTCATTTATGTCCACACAAATGATAATATGTCCATCTTGGTGAGGAATGCCTGACTTGCCCTCTCAGCTGGTAAGCTTCTGTAATATCATCCTACAGAAAAATATGCTGATTTCCTCTACAAGCCCTAAATGTATAATGTCACCTGATGCAAATTGTGAAAAATAACCTTTCCCAGTATCTTTTGGCTGTAAACAAACTCCTAGGATACCTGAGACTAGTGATAATCACACTCCCATTTTTAAATGAGATTAATTAATGATTTAACATAAATTAATTTTCTGAGATGAGGGTTAGGTTTTGCTGTTGTTTTGTAACATCAAAGATGAAAGGCACAAATATCTGAGCAAAAGTGTGAAAACAGGAACAGTTTCTTGTGAAAGTTTGAGTCTGGTGAAGATAGCAGCAAAATTCATGGACCTTGGAAAGATGAAGGTGTGGACTTTGATGTCTTCTCCTGTTCTGCCACTGGGAACTCTTTCTTGACAAATGCATTCAACTGCTCTGGCCTTGTTTTCCCATGCCTAGATAGGAGATAAAATTATATAGCAATCAGTGTAAGGATCTTGAAATATCTTTGTTGTAAAATAGTTTAGAGTGTGAAGTGTTGCAGACACCTCATGTCTCAGGTGGAATTCCATTGCTTTGCACATCTCTTTGAGTCAGCCTTTCTGAGCTCACTTCTTCTTGGCTCATTCTGGACCCACCTCTGGCCATTCTGAATGCTAGGCTAGCAATCTTACCCTTTTACTTTACCAAGAAATCATTTTTGTCAAGTGCAACGAATGTAAAACAGAATGCCAATGAAATCTGCCATTCATCATGCAAAGCGTTTGAGATTGTGCATAACTGCTTTTCAGCAAAGGCTTGATTTCTGCTGTTTATAAAGACTCCCTGGTGCCTGAGAGAAGAATAGCAGTAATATGCAAAGGTTTATAAGTGATTTGAATACTCCTCCCCAATCCAAGTAATTGGATTTTAAAAATTTGTGGAGTGGAACACAGGAGCTTCAGAAACAACAACTCTTCTTATTACTATCAACAACGGGTAGCTAAAAGATGCTTAGTGATTTCCCTCCTTGGTAATACAGTTTAATTCATAGAAATTAATCATAGTTTATAAAAGCTGATAGATAACACTGATTTTTACAAGTGGCTGTTTCATTAGCTCAGATATTGTTATTGATTAATTTTGAGGTAAAGACAAAGCAGATATATTTACTTTATCACTAGATTCCTTACAATGCAGCATGTGCTGGTGCTTGTTAGTTTATTGTGGAATATGTGCTATATGACAGGATTTTGTTTCATATTACTTTATTACAGGAGGATTATGGATTTATTTGGTTAGGTTTACCTAATGATATTAGTGTATAATGCAAGAGAACCAGTATGTGTTTGTGTGTGCAAGACCAGTTTTCTGGTTAAAGGGATAAAGGTGCTTGTAACTGTTTTGTTCTGGAGGCTTAAATGTATATGAAATCGCATCTGCAGTGCTAGGTAAGCCTTCTTTCTCTAGCTCCTGACTTGTTCTGGCTGCTGATTCAAATTACACCTACAATTAAACAGAGTGCCTCAAAAGCACGCTGATAAAAACTGGCAGCATTATTTCTGCCTGGGCTGATAAACAGTACTTGACTTTCCCATAACCGCTCTACCACCCACCTTCCTTCAGCTATAAGTGGGATGTCATGGCAAAATGACAAACGTTCCCTCTTTAATACTTCTTCATGATGAACTGCTTCATATTTCCTTCTGAGGAAAAGTAAAATTCTTAAGTATGATAACTCCTTTGGGTTTTCTACGCTCATGAAAGATAACCAAACCACATCAGTATTTCATCATCTTCTCTTTGAAACTGGTGGTGTTGTGGTACATGCTATACCACGTCCATAGCTCTCCTGGGTGAAATCTTCACTTATGAGCTTCCAGATCACGAAGCCAGGCACACAGATTGTGTAATATTCTTGCTATAGGAATATATGACATTGCAGGGATGCTATAATTCTACAGTGTTTTTAGATATGTGATTCGTAATAAATAGCTGAACCAAGCTTTGTTTGCATAGTCCAGCTATTTAGAAGGTAATTTATGCAAGCAGAGCCTTCCTGCATTGCTGTGGGATATTTTTAATAGATCAGATGAGAATAGGCATCTTTCTTCTTTGCACATGCCTCCTATTCTCATTCCTGACCTCATTCCATTAGACCAGGGATCTTCTTATCAGACTCTTCTTATTTCCTAATCCTTCTGTGTTGAACAAGGCAAATCTTTCTCCCGTAGTCTTCATGGATAACCTCTCTACCAAAGTCTTCTCAGAGATTGTTAAATAGCTGGAGCGTGAAATTGTGTGGGGACTTTTGAAACAGAAATGGAAATGTAAACTCAGCACATGCATTATAGTCATGTGTTATGTGATTAAACTGTTTGATGTCTGTAATAAGGAACAAGGTAAACTTCAGATTAAGACCAGAATTTTGTGGTGGTTAAAAACCAAGCAATTAGACAAGAAAATATGGAATATTCCTTTGGAAAAACATCAGTCACTCTAACTACATGCATGTTTATTGTTGGTGGTTTTTTGTCCATAAAGTCACAGCATAGCAAAAGTCCGTTAATCAGAAACTGATTTTTATATCAGGCTTTATTTTCAGTGTCTAGGATTTTCGAAGGTCTTTTTTTCTTGATGTTTTGTAGTTTCTTTCTCTTTAAATCTTAATTTGTCCCTTATCCCTAATTTTTGCCTGTTTTTAGTAGTTTTCCTTATCTCTGCACACATCAATGCAATTTCCTGCTTTGAAAGTGAATAATAAATATCTACTCTTCCAATACAACTTTATCAGCAGCTGTAGCTGCATTTGAGCACATATCTTAGAGTGATACTCTAAGTCTTTACTTGCTGGTAAGAAAGTAACATAGGACTTTGCCTTGGTCAAAATACATAGCATCTAATGTTTATTTCTCCACTAGTAGGGGTTTTACACTGTCAGTGACCTAATGCGTTTTTGAAAAATCTAAATATTAGTAACATTTAGCTTTCAAAGATTGGAAGCATGTAGTGTATTATAACTGTTCAATCTAGAGAGTAGATGTAGAAACATTATAAAAGAGAAAATATAAGCTTTTTACTTTTTCCGGAAATATACTTCTTCCTTTTTCTGTAATTTTCTGAAGCTCCTCTGCTTTATGCATTTTTTAAAAAATAACTGTCCATGTTTCAAAGGTTACTTGAATTAATATTTTTTTCATGTATAAATCACCCTCCAGGTAACTTGCACCCCTTTAAACATCATGCAGATAATTCAGTACTTTTGATAACTCTTACCAGTTAGATAGTCATTGTTATAGAGTACTGGAGATAGAGGAGAAAGAGAAATACCAGAGGAAGAATTTCATCATAATATTTACACATGCATATAACTCACAGTCCTGAGGAACCAGGAGTCATTCTTTAGTTTGGTGAGGCTTTTTTTGCTTTTTTGGAAATAAACACAGTTTACCCATGTGAAAACACAAAAAATCCTTAAGCTTTCTGGGCTGAATTTCATCAGCCTTCTAACCTGAACTGTGTGACCTCATAAAAACATTTCCTTCCCTGAATTTTTTTGCCCTGTGCTTTGCCCTGTAGCCTTATCTCCATGTCCAAATTAATTTTGGGCATGCTCTCAGAGCTGATTGCAGGCAGAATTGAACTTTGTTCCCTCTGGGAGCCAGCTGGCTGGAGGCCAGCCCTGGGCACGTTGCAGTGCCTGAGCGGATGAGCTGTGCTTCTCAGCAAGTCCCATTAAATGCATCCGAGCAGCAGGCAGGCAGGGTCATGGCTTGCAGTTCAGAGACAGCCTGTGCCTGCCCAGCTCCGAGCATCAGCAAGGAGACCTCATGCCTCTGTCATCTCCTGGGCAGAAAGACCTTTATCTGCCCACTCTCTCCCTCCTTCTGGAGACTCAGACAAGGAAGGCATTTAATGATCTTCTGTACTTATCTGAACTAGCTGTTATTTGAACCCTTTTCTCATGTTGTAATGTCTGTCTTTAACTGGGATTTCTTTTTGGCTTACCCTATCACACATCTTTGAAACCTTTTAATATGGCTTTGCTAATTAAAACTCATGTTGTTTTAACTTTTCTGCTTTTATCCCCCTGGCACAGGGAGGCTTACACTCATCCTTAGTAGCCAGTGCATTATTTTCTGCTTTTTCCTCAATCTCTTCTCCACATTTAGGTTGCACCATTTTATCCTTCAGAAAATCCTTGGTCATCTCTGCCTCCTAGCGAGCTAAAGTGACAACATTTCACAACACTGAAGATGATGTCCCCTTTCCCATATCGTGTTTAGTGCCCACACTGCCTTCACCACCAAAGTGCAAGTTTCAGTAAATGTGTTATTTTAACTAAATACTGAAAACAGTACTCTGGCCACACGTTTCATTTATGTATATAACAACAGAGTCCTCCTCTAACATCACTAACATAGTTGTGAATATATAGTATTTGTTCATAGCCTGCTGTGAAATTAATGCTGAAAGCAAAGTTTGTGATTTTTCTCTAAGTCAGAAGATGGAATTTATTTTTGATCTCAGCTGGGATGGGAATATATGCAATTTGTCAAGAGATATCCTAAATATGCATGAGGAGCTTTAATATGGACTTTGCAACAAGTATGCCCACAACTGGAAGAGTTTCAGCTGGAGTGCTGCTTGAGCCGATATGGTTTCTATGTATTTAGTAACCCTCACTGCATACATTTTTCAGAAACTCAGCTTGAACCTGTAAACAGAGGTTAACCTTCCTTTTAGCAGAAATATGATGTAGCTGTGCTTTTTCTTCTTGGGCCTCTCTGGATATACATTTTGTGCCTGTAAGGAAGGAGTGTTCTCACTTCCTGAGTTTGTAAGCTGTGTATTTCAATGAGGGTGACTTTTCGCTTTATATGAATCACACTATTAAATTTTATAGTTGCTTCTCCAAAATGTGCTGAGTACTGCAAATCATTCTTTAGGGGTTCATCTTCTTTGTATTTGTGCTTATGTGTACTTCTACTCGTCACTTTGATTTCAGTGGCACTGTGAAGGAATGGTTGATTGGAGAATTACTTATTACTTATATTACTTATTATTACTTATTACTCCCTTAAAAAGTACAAAACAGCTTGCAAGAAACACATCTTAGCCTTTGAAGTTAGCTTGTGATAGTTCCTTTTTTATCCTTTATCTCCTTGCTGTTGCTTGATAAATACCAGGATCTAAATGCTTCTATTAAATTTGATGTGTCAATGTTACAAAACTAAGAGGTTTTTCACAATATATATTTAATTTGAAAATTGGTGTGAATGTGTCACCCTTCAGCCCTGTCGGTTTCCAGATTAACATTAAAACAATTTTGAAGGGAAGTGGGCAGAAAAGTGGCTTCCATTTTTGCAGCTGGGAGATTTTTGAGAAAACAATAAGAAATAGAGAGTAAAACAGGTGGTTTTCCTGAAGAACCACCTGTGTTTTGAAATACCAGTCAAACCACTTCACACATTTAAAGAGTTTCATTCAACTGCTCAAATATTATATAATTCTCTGTATCTCTGTGTATGTGTTTATATATAGATCAGTCACTCAATCACAGAATATCCTGAGTTGGAAAGGACCCACAGGGATCATTGAGTCCAACTGCTAAGTGAATGGCTTGTTAGGGGCATTATGTGCTCTAAAAAAATGCTATAATATCCATTTTTAACCAAAAGTTGCTATTGCTATTTTAACAGTGAAGTAATTTGTATGAAAAATGTCTCATCTTCTCCATTTGTTAGAAGTAAATTCTTTTAACAATACATGTAGCACAGTCTTAGTAAGTATAGTGTTGAAGTAGTTTTTGGTATTTAATTGTCTTTCCCTTAAAAAACCAAAAAACAACATTTAAATCACAACTGGTAAACAATTATGAAAAAATAGACCTTGATTTCTTTCTGAAAACAGGATGTTTTTAGTGGCATTTTTAAACAAATAACACCTAGGAAAGAGAATTGAATATTAATCTGTGTATGAAAACTCTCAAAAATCAAGAACTGAATGAACTTCAATGCATCTTCTGTCTTTATACCTGATTCTCCAGGACATGTGAGAGATTTATTTCTAGAGAGGATTTAAGAGACAACTCCATTACCTAGTCTTGTGGATTTTGTTCCCTTAACTTTGAGAACAAAAAACCCACTTTATTTTCTTTTTCAATGTCATTCTGACACTAGCATGATAAACAGGTGTACAAATGTAATTTTCTGTTTTGATGCCTATTTCAAAAATGTCAAGTTAACAGTATCAAATATAAAATATAAAAATATAAATTGATTCTGAAAACCAGTAACAATCCAAGGACTGTGTAATGCTTGCATTGTCTAACTTGACTTTCCTACTTCTTTGTTTTGTCCATAGACACCCTATTTTTGGCCATCAAATTGTTGGGAGCCGGAAAACACAGACTATGGTCAGTGTAGAAATATTTCCTATTTCTTTTGGAAATTATGCATTATATAAATGAATGCATCATTGCAATCTCTTGTTTCACCATCCCATTGTTTAAAACATAATTATATGCCATGTAATTCCTGTGCAAGAGCTGCTGATATTGAAATGAACATGTTGCTACCTTTTTCAAAGTTTATCAGAAGCTTATCAAAGTAATATTTTTGAGTGGATCTGAGTAAAATAGAAAAAACTACAAGCCTCAAAATTAAAGACTCATCAAAACCTACCTTGCCCTTTATATCCTCTGTTTGCTTCAGCAAGTGTAATTATTTACAGTGGGAGAGTCTCAGTGGAGCAGAGGAGACTTTATTGTTGGTTGTGCAATGGTAATTATCAGATTGAAACCCAAAGATGTACCTAGTTTAGAACTCTTCTAATATACACCAAGTTGAAAATTACTTGTTTTGAAAACAAATATAGTTCTAATATGAACTGTATTAGAAAATACAGTTTATTGTTTATTTGCCTGTGTGTTGGGGGTTTATTAATAAATTATATACTGTAATTACTGATGTGTGCTTAGACAGCAAAATCTGAAGATAATAGGTGGCAGTGTATTAGGAAAAAATATTATTAAAAATGACAGCAAAATTAGGTTCCTCTGTACATCAAATAGTGACCTAATTTTAAAAGAAAGTGGATCTGTGAGCGGCCTCCTGTTCATTTTAATCCAAACTGTAAGTACTGAGTTCATCTGAAGACCAGGTCACTTATTTAGGTAACTGAGCATGTGCATGATAGTTATGTTTTCAAAACTTCAGACCACGAATGTCTCTTTTTACAGCTTTTCAGAAATTCAAGTGAATGTTCACTTGTAATTTGGATTCTATGTCCTTGGGAGTTGAAGACTTCAGGGATGGATAATTCCAATAAATGCTTCCTTCCTTTTTGGAGCAGACACGGTTTAATTCCAAATACATTGCCAAATAAAGTAATTTTAAGCTGAGACTCTCAGCAGAGCTGAGTGTCTCCAAGGTACAGTTTGAAAATGTGACAGTTTCCTTATCCTATAAGAGTAGAAAAATGTTCAATTTTTTACTGATATTCAAAGATGTCCAGTAAATATTTATTGAAAACTCCCAAGGAGGAGAGATCCTTACCACATGAATTTGCTTAGCCATTCCATATGAGGAAATTAGTCACTGAAGGAAAAACTATTGATTTACCATTCATTACTTCAGTATAGTCCCCTAATATGTTAAAGATCAGCAAGTAATTAACTATGGTTTAAGAGACATTGAGTTGTTCAGCTGTAATGTGTATCACATTACTGGGGTAGTTTTAATAAATAATTATATGCTTAACATGTCTGAATTTGAGATCAGGCTGAGAAAGTTTCTGTTAATATCCTTTAGTCTGAAGTAGGACATACTAATTTTCCTGTCACAGTTGATCAGTGGATTGGTCAATGAATGATAAACCTTAGTCAGTAAGTAGAAATCATGTCTAATGTGTCCAGGTTTGCATGCCAAGAATACAGAATTAAACTTGGAATCAGTGTCTTCATCATGCAGGGAGGTGCTTTTGCTGAACAGTGAATGTACTCATTTGAGAGCTTTTGAAATTTAAATATGTTTCAGATGCTGAGTTAAGCTCTTTGGTTGCACAGGGGAGAAGGAAGGGGAAGCAAACCCTCCAATCCTGCAATCTTATTGCTTCTCCTGCCATGAGCCTAAAGTGCAATCCTCTATGAAACAGACCCACAGCTTCCCTGTGTAACAGGACCAGAGCATTGTACTGGAGCTACCAAAGGGGACCGTGTGTCACCAAAACTGGATAATGCTAGAGCATTTGCAGGAAAATAAACTTTTAAGCACCTTTTCAATACTGTTCTTATTAGGTTAGCATCATCTGAGTCCCAGCAATTAGCATTTCCCTTTTACAAAATGGTGATCAGAGCAATACAGGAAAATCAAAATATTTAATCAAAATCTTTAAGTAACGAAAATAAATGAAAAGTAGGCTTGAAACATTTTGAAAATACTAAAGGACAAATATCACCTCAAATATACACCAAATAGGTTCTGCAGATTTTCATGGTAATTGTTACTTCCTGGAAAATATAGTACATGGAATTTATGTTATCACAGATATGCAAATACATTTCATAGTTACCATGCATTATGGTGCTGTGTAGTGCTGCCAATTTCATGGACTTGTCCTGAAAAAGCTTGAAACTGTGCCCTCTAAAATTAATGACTGTGGTCTCTCAAAACCAGCAAAAAGTAAACTCTCTATGGAATCTTCCTTGATCAAAGTTTCTAACAAGGCAAATCACTTTCTTTGCCATTAACCTAATTTTACAAGCCATTGGAAATACTCTAGAATTTTATTTTAATTTAAAAATTAATCCTAACCATTCATCTTTATTCATCCATGACTGGGCTACTGTCCAGAATGTAACACACTGCCAGGAAAATAATTTATCTTAAACAAGAAATTAAATAAGATTGAGATACTGTGTGTTAGTTTATTACCAAAACTAACTAAGAAACAAATGATCCTTATGTATTTGTATAACATGCTAATATCTTCTCTAAAATATAATCTGATCTATATGAGCTTGTAATAACAAATATTCGCCTTAAAAATATTTTTATGTAGAAAGTATAACTGAAAAAACCATATAAACAGAATCTTCCAATATGTCAAAAAACCCCAGACACATTATCATAAAGGTGTAGTGCACTGCTAATTTGTGGTGGCAAAAAGAGGGCTTGGATTAATTTAATTTATGTCAAAATGGAAAATAGCCTTTTGATTGTAATTTCCAAAGTATTCACTGTGATCATTCTGAAGTTACTGAGAAACTTCCCATTTTCCTAAATTGCTGAAAATCTTCCTTCTTTTCTTGAAAATCATACTTTAAGTGTTGTTGAGAGAGATTCCTCAAATTGCAAATAATTTTTACAAAGGCAGGTCCTTAAGTTCCATCTGTTGAAGTCTCATTTTAGTTCCATATGTCTTGGATTCCATCCAGGCAGGACATGTTGTCCTTTGTAGAATCCCATTGGTTTTAGTGTGATTATGTTAGTGAAAATAAGCAATAATAATAACAACTACTATTATTAAGGCCAGTATAGTTCAAATAACTTTGCTTTTTCCTCTGAATTAAGTCATGTTCCTGAATTATGATTAGGTTTTGTGACAAGTAGAATTGGATCTCAATTCAGAAAAACTGGCTCTTGAAATGAACACAGCTAGTAGCTGAGCATGTGACCTGCTTGTAATTATCTTCTCTTTTCTTACAGATATAATTTTGTAACTGATGGAATTTTTTTCCTGGCATATTATAAACAGGTCATGTCATTAAGAATTAGTTAAATAGGGAGGCTAGTTAAGACACTTGCATCCCAGAAAAAGTCAACTGCATCTATATAGTTGCAACAGGATGTTGTTTGAGCATTGTAATTTTTTTGTGTGTGCATTTCTCTCAAATTAGTTAAAAATGGAGGAGAACTGCAGAATGTTGGTGAGTTATAGAGAACACAGTAAATAACTGATAATGCAAAATGAGTTGAAGAGCACTTGACCATGTGATCTTTAAATTATGCTAAATTAGACTATTTTTCTCTATATTCAAAGCATATTCTTAAATTCTGTTGCTATGAAGAAGGACAGGTTTTGAAAATGTAACATATTTACAATAGCCGTCCAGGTAAAGTTATGTATTACAAAGGTAATCTCCTAGGAGATTAGAGCAATCAAGGGAGTTGGGGTAAGTCTTAATTAATTGCTCCCTTTAAAAGTGTATAATACTTGTCTGGATAAATGCTGCAGTTCTTTAAATAGTCATCACTTTGTTATCTATCCTGTGGTACAGTAAAATGAGGCAGCCGTTTACTTTTGCTGTGTCAAAGCTGTTTCATTGTTGTTCTCCAGCATTTTTAAGAAAGTACAAGTATTTCCTTATTAAATTTACCTGATAATCAGCTAACAAGTCAGTCTGAACAGCACTTCGTTCCTAATGATACCTTCTTATCGCTTAAAAGTAAACTGACAGAGGCCTCTCCATGTTGCTTCTGCTGCTCTGTTCTGAACATGAGCCATTTCCCCTGGGTCGTTTCCCTCTTCTCTCCCAAACCAGCAGTAATGCTAAAAAGTACATAGTGCACTAAAAGTAACTGCAGTCATGTATCATGTTTTTCTCATGTTGAAAATTTCCAAATAATTTTCTCTTTAGAGTCTCTTGCCTACTTATTTTACATGTTTAGCTTCAAATTCCTCTATGAAAATTTGAGTAGTCCAGGAATTTTCTTACTCATTTTTCTGTACCCTTTACCATAGAGTGACTGTTTGGAAGGAGAACTGTGTGGAGAATGCATTATATACTTCCTTTGCCCAAACGCACAGGAAGGATTTCCTTGGCAATAGCTTATTAGTAAGAAATTTGTATTTGAGAAATACTGATCCCTATTGCTTATCTGAACTCTGCTGGAACGCTGCATGTTCTCAGCTTCTCTGGAAATCAACCCATAACCACGAGTCAGTAGCTTGTGGCAAAACTGGTAGCAGAGAAGCAGTTTTGATACAAATTGTCATATATATATTAAAAAATAATTGTTAAAATTCATGCCATGAGAATTTACAAAAAACGTGTGAGTAGTTTCTGGAGAGCTCTGCCATTCTATAATCTCATATCTCGATTCTCAGTTCCCATTTTTTCAACAGCTAATGTCAGAATATGTCAGCAATGACTCCTGCAAGCAATTCCTTTAAGTCCTTAATACAGATCCATCTGTTAAGGACCTCCCTTGCAAAATTTTCTGGATTTCTAAGTGTAGTAAGAAACAGAGTTTTCCTTCTGGAACTCAGTGTTTCTAAGAATGGGTTGTGACTCCTTTAGTGAATGACTTGCCTTTAGGAAGCTGCATATACAGAATATATTGACTAAGATATTGGTGACATGACTAAGTGAGGAGTACAGTATACCAAGAATAACAGCCTCTCAAGAAAAAT